GCGCAACATGTTGTGAATTTATCAGAATGTCAATCACCGTTCAGAATAAATGCTCGCGTTTCAGGAATATAATCTCAATCGAAAATCAAGTGATGAAGTCGACATATTCAGAGTTCCCCAAGTGAATAGGCATAAGATTTTGAAATATCAATTTACTGAATTTTTTTTCACCGACAGATAAGATAACTCGTTTGTTTTTAAGATAGAGTTGTTAAAAATAAATACGAGGTATTGAAAGATTTTATACAGAGTGTCCCTAAAATGTGAAAACACAGGCAAAAAAATGCATATTTTAAAGAAATGAAATTTTCAACAATATTTTCAATATTTTATTGAATTGGAATATTAACAAATAAAATATTCACTATGATCTCCAATGGTTGATGCGAAATATATGAGAGAAAAATATGTATGAGAAAGTGTGAAAAAATTTTTTTGATATATATATATATATATATATATATATATATATATATATATATCGTAAAATATATATAATTTATATATAAATATTTATAAATATATAATTTATATATTATGTATATAATTTATATATATATATATAAATTATTTTTCCTTATGATTTACACTCACATACACACACACACACACATAAACACACACATATATATATATATATATATATATATATATATATATATATATATATATGTATCCTCAGCTCTTCTTACTATATTTTCTTATTTTACCCAATTGTTTTTTTCTTTTCGCTAGGCCGTGCGGTGTGGGCCGATTTTTCAACCAACTCCGATGATTATAGTCATTTCTTTTTATTCAATTTGTTTTCCCCAGCTACGAGTTTGTTTAAATGTATCTTTAATTGCAAATTGTACTATCCGAATATAAGTATTAATATATATATATATATATATATATATATATATATATATATATATATATATATATATATATATATATGTAATCAAATATATGGATATAGATCCGACAGTATGAAGAAAAAATATATACGGAAAAAACAAACAAAAAATCATTATATGCAATCCTTATATATGCTGTTTTAATGTTAATATGTCAACGTCGGACGTTTCGGTCTAATAAACCATCTTCAGGACATATTCATAAATTATAACATTATCAATACAACATGACAAATTGTCATGTTGTATTGATAATGTTATAATTGACATATTAACATTAAAACAGCATAATTGTATATAAGGATTTTTGTTTGTTTTTCCGTATATATTTTTCTTTATATATATATATATATATATATATATATATATATGGCATCTCGTCTACAGTCACTCTCTCACAGACGCGCCGTCGCCTCTCTCTGTCTGTTTTACAAATACTTTCATGGCAATTGCTCCGAGGAACTGCATTCGCTGGTTCCCCAGACTTCATGAGTTCAAGCGCCCTACGAGGCTGGCACCCCACTCTCACCCTTTCACTGTCGAAACTTCTAAATGTAGCCGTCTCTTCTACTCCAATAGCTTCATGTCTTGCACCTCTCACCTGTGGAACCCCCTTCCTTATTCCAGTTTCCCTGAGAGCTATAATCTCCAACTATTCAAATGTAATGTCAATCGACATCTCCACTTGCCTTGATCTATCCACTATCCTTCTCCTCATCCTTTCCTCTATCACTCCTATCTGATCTTGCTCCAAATTTTCTGTAACCACTTGCGTCCTAGTGGCTTCCCGCCTTGCTTAGGGTGAATATATATATAATATATATATATATATATATATATATATATATCGAGTTTCATCTGGTAGTTTGGAGTTCTTTGAATTTTCTGCTTTCATAAAAATTGTTTGTCTTTTGTATCCACCGGAAGAAGAGGCATTCAAAATCTATTCCAAAAAAGTAAAAGTCGTCAGTTGTAAGACATTTACTTTTTATTTTTAGAGTCAAGTGTGGTGCATCTGTGATTTTAATTAAGACTCCTCCTTTAGCACACCCCAGAAAAAGAAATCATTTTAATGGAGTTAAAATACATATATATTAAATCAGATTTTCTATGTGTCTAGATTTTAGGAACAACCTGTACATTGTTTAAACACGAAAGAGCTAAATCTTTTAAATTTGGAAATACTTTGAATAATGTTACTTAATCACAATCAACTTGAATTCATCTTTGTATGATAATCTCTTATGCTGGAGAGAAAATAAAACCAGAAATGATAGAACCAACTTCTTAGAGTTAATATAAGGTACTTCGGATTTTGGTGACCCAACATTCGATTAAGTATGTACAAGTTGCCGAGTATCCAGTGAAAAATACATTAGCGATTAGGTAATTACCGACGCTAAGTAGATTAAGCATTTGACTTTGTGTAGTTGAAAATCTTCTTCACACATGCATGCGCACACACACGCACACACACACTCACAGCCACACACAGATCAAAAGAAGATGACCTCGTTCCGCTTAGTAATATTGCTCTCTCTCTTACATCAGAAGGTCAATCCACTACCAAATTGGCAAAGTGAAGCAGTTGTTCCTCGTCATCCACTCAACAGCTGTGAACCAGTGATAAGAAACTCAAGTGGAGACACAATTTTCTACATTCAGCCGTACCAATGAACAGAGCTCCTAGTCAGTGTATGTCCCTGCGATGCAGCCACCTTAAAAAAAACGTGGAACATATACTTTCTTTCTGAGGCCTACCGAAAGCCACCCCACTGGCCTGTCACTTCTTGCCCTGTCTAAATTGCCTCCGAACCGCCATTGGTCGTTGTAAAGCCAACCTTCACCCAACGGCTGTGAACCAATGATTAAGAAGCACCCGACTGGCTTCAGTGATGCCTGGCCCTTCTTGCCCTGTCTCAATCGCCTCCGAAGAGCTGCTCGTCGCTGTAGAGTCAACCTTCAGAAATGGGGATGTGCCATCGGTGATTACCCCAACTGCTAATGTGGTCAATTGCAAACTATGGAACATCTTATAATTTGCCCAGTCTTCGGCCTTCAAGATTCATGCACATTTAACGATCTTAAAACCATAACACCCTAGGCAAGACTTTGTGTACAGACTTCTGATTTTGTATATGTCACAGAATATCCCTTTTAAAGGATTATCAAAACTTTAAATAAAAAGGTTAATTTTAAATACCTGTAGTTCTCAATAAGGTAGATATTGATATTAGATAACTAAAGTTTCCACATCATAATAACAAAAAGAATGCAAGAAAAGTGGGAGAAAACAGAACTTGAAGAGTTTGAATCAATGGTGACAAAATAGGAAAGATTTTAGTAGTAAATGAAGTAAATGTTCCTTGGAGCAGTAAAATATCAAAGTGTGGACAAGCAGGATCGACCAAGTCTTGAAAGGGCACACCATATAAAAAAAATAAAGGTGTCTTTCTTGGAGCAATTAATTCATAGAAAATTTCAAAAGCAGACATATTTCGCTAAATATCTAGACAAATATCCTGCGATCATAAATTGCCTTTATGCTGCATTCGATTGCTGATTGTTTTGTTCTTTACGGCTTATCAACCCTTTGCGCGTTATTTGTAGCCGAAATGTATTTTGGATAGTAAGAATTATTATTTTTCTATTTAACCCACTGAAACTTAGTAAAAATCGACAATATTGTTATTTGATTTTCACAAAGTACTATATTATTTCGGCCAAGCTACACTATTATGTTTGCCTTATACCTGAGAGGAGGTGGCAAAACGTAATTTTAGCTAGGGCCACTTCTAAAGAATATTCCTTTTAGCGTTTCTTTTATTTGACGCACGTTTTCAACTTGCTTTTATTGGTGTTTCTATGAATTTATTGAATTTTCACCAAGACATAATATTTATCTTTTTCGACCCGCCTCCCTTAAAATTAGTAAAAAGAAGAAAAAAAAAATCTGAAATTGAAAATCCCGAACGCGTGATATGGCCACCGTTTGTCGGCTAATCTTGAGTATTAATGATATGCGGTCAGAATGACGAAGGGGGAAGACACGACGAGAGGCGTGACCCGACATCTAAATAGAATCTAATGTATGCAAGCTGTGGTTGACATGTTATGATCCGCTTCTGCCAACCTGGCCTTCCTTTCAAAGCATTAGCAGAAAGACGACGTATATGGCCCGTGGGTTTCCTTCTCAGACGCAATTTCTTCATTGCGATATTTATGAATTAATAATAAAGAGAAAAAAAAATACGATTTTTGCAGACAAGAAAAGGTCATCGAAGTGAGAAAAGGAAGAAAACAGGCATTTATTTCTGGTGTGTGTGTGTGTGTGTGTGTGTGTGTGTGTGTGTGTGTGTGTGTGTGTGTTTGGATGTGTGTGTTTGTGTGTGTGTGTGTGTGTGTGTTTGGATGTGTGTTTGTGTGTGTGAGTTTGGATGTGTGTGTGTGTGTGTTTGGATGTGTGTTTGTGTGTGTTTGTGTGTGTGTGTGTGTGTGTGTGTGTATTAAAAGCTATTAAATGTACATGGCATGATATTCATTATAAAGATTTTGTATCATGTACTGTTGACACGCACACACACACACCCAAACACACACACAAACACACATCCACACACCCAAACACACAC